CGTTTTGTAATTTGGGGTGGTGTTTGATCACAGTCTGATTCTTATATCACCTCTGTGTCTGCATAGGTCTCCACTCCAATCCCCAGATCTGCCTCTTTAGCATTTGGGTCCCACTGGTTTTCATATCTCAGGTTTAAGGAGCTAGTGATGTGGTACTTCCTTTCACTGGCTGGATGCCTTGCTAGTCAATGGTTCCTTTGTCATGGGAGGGCTGTTTTTAATATAACTGAACTTTCCATTTTGAAAGATGTCAATTTTATGTATGAAAACACAAGTTTATGGAACTACTCTATCTGTCATAAATGTTACATTTAATGTTTTTCTTTCTCTCAAATGTCCCTACACCTTCTTATATTTTTATTTAAAAAATTTCCACTCAACAAGGACATAGGAAAATCAAGACAGATAAGGAGCCAGGACTTAGTTGAGTAGCCACAGGGCCAGCATTGGACCAGGCCGTGTGGGGAATTCAGACAAGGAAGACTGTCTGAGAGCCAGGAGTGTGGTGGTGGGGATCCACCTGAGGAGAGGTGGTAAGCCTAGAAAAATGAGAGACTTAGGGTCTTCTGGGTGAGATAAATCCTTGCTGACACACACAGTGTGTTCTGCAAATTTTGAAGGCTCATATCTGGGCTAGCTCTGAAAATTCATATTGGTGAGTAGCTGATAATAAGACAGCACGCAAAATTGGACCATGTTACAACTATCCTCACTATTAAGCATCAGGAATTCAAATTTGGTATGTTAAGATGTTACACACCATGGATCTTTTCTCATAGAATCTGAAAATCCTATTATCTGCTTTATTTGTGGATATGAATAAAAGGAAAATGAGAAAATTTCCTTGCATGTGAGAGTCAATGAATTTGGAAGCAACAGTTTTGAATGCCTAAAATTCCTTTGATTCATAAAGAAACACTGAAGCTTTCTGATCTGGAGGTTCAAGAGTTCATGATCTCCCTAAAGCAAGATTTTCTGTTTTCATGGGGATGAAATAACTGCCAACCCTCAACAGCTCTAAATGGGATTTTTTTTTTGAGAGGGCACCCCTCCTATTTATTGATCAAATGGTTGTTTACAACAATAAAATTCTGTATAGGAGACTCAATGCACAATCATTAATCAACCCCAAGCCTAACTCTCAACAGTCTCCAATCTTCCAAAGCATAATGAACAAGTTCTTACATGGTGAATAAGTTCTTACATAGTGAATAAGTTCTTACATGGTGAACAGTGCAAGGGCAGTCATATCACAGAAACTTTTGGTTTATAGTTCCAGGTTTTTTCTTCCAAACATATATTTTTACTTTCAAATATGTTAACAAATCAGTTATTTTCCTCTTTTCAGAGAGTCCTAGGAACCCATAGGACTGATAATTAAAGGATGAGCTTAGCTTAGAGATACCCATAGAAACAGGAAGCAGAAACTCTATTCTTAGAGAGACCAGAGACTGAAGATGCCATTGGTCAAAGAGGTAAACATAACTCACTGCCCTTGATTGCCTGCCTGCCACGTTCAATTCAATGCAAGGATCTGATTGCTAGAGAGAGGAGAATCCTAAATCACCCATGTCACTCCATGTATGGGTTACATTGTTAGGAAACAGGAAGTTTATTATGCTTATAACATTAGAAAAAGGGTGAAGTTTACATGATGGAACACAAAAGGCTCAACATCTTGTATGGTCAGATATTGAATGTGGAGATTTAGTTCTCCCATATACTTGGTCTGGAAACTATGGGACTTTAGTTTTGAAGTTCAATTTCCACATTGGCTCCTGTCTAATCTCAACCATCTTTTGGCATCTTAAAAAGCATTTGAAAATCATTAGCAGAGTGGGAGAAGTCTCTAGAAATGCCAAATTCTTGGATATTTGGATTGCAAGTGGCTCATACATGATGTACAGGTATCAGATCTTGCAAGCCCAGAGAGCGCTCAGCTTCTCTATAGATTCCAGTCATAGAAGCAAAGACAGACAACCAGGAATGGCTCTTCAAAATAAACTGCTTCAAAAGACAACAGTTGAAGTGACAGTCCAGGTTCATCAAATCAGGGAAAAATTTACTATGTGATCAGGACAAACGTAGGAGGCCAGCAACAGCCAGTTCTCCATGGGATATGCTTCTCTTCCAGTTCTGTTTGGTCTTTATATGGTCTAGTTTTTCTTTTCCCTGGAGACAGTTTTCTTATGGACAGATTTCTTCTGGTTTCCTCCTGGACATCCATTTTATCATCATGACAGGGCTACCCAGTCCTAGAAAGAACTTCTCTCTAGGAATTGGTGAGGCTGGCAAGCTACAGAGAGATTTTACTTTTGAATATCATTGTTGACAGCTTTCTTAACCTGTCCAGACCCCAGATAGCCAACTCTGAGTTGGTATAATTTGTTGTGGTCATTCAATCAGACCACGAACCACAAGCCCAAAACTTGTTCTGCTTCTTTCTCTTGGACATGGTTCCTGTGTCAAGCAAGATCGGCATAGTATCTGGAACCCTGGTCTAGAGTCAGGAGTGGCCTGGGAAGCCATTGGCCAGCTCCACCTGGCCCCTCAATTGACTGATGTGGTAAAATCAGTGTTTATGTAAAATTGGGTACAGGGTCAAGGAGGAGAAGATTTCATGGCTATCTAGGGTAATAAAATATGAAAACAGAATTAGATAAGCTCCTACCCCATTGTTTTTCAATCTCTTCTTATTTTTCAGATTGGATTACAGTTGATCCTTGAAACACATGGGTTTGAACTGCATGGTTTCACTTATACACAGATTTTTTTTCAGTAAATATTTTGGAGATTTACAGCAATTAAAAAAACATTTGTGTTCTCTATCTTACTGGAGTATGTTTTTAATTTCTGATGAGTCCCTTTTCTTGAGTAAAACTAGATTTGACTTGTATTCATTATCAGAGTTATATTATATGCACTTCCAGAATACCTTAAGTTGTTTTAGTGTAAAGAAAAGGAAAATTTAATGCCTCTGATTTTGCCTAATGGCTCTCTGAGGAGCACGATGGAATCTCTGGTTTGGTAGAGCCTGTATGTGTCTAGCATAGTCTAGGCATTTGACAGAAATAATACCATGCTATATAGTCTGTAGCCTGGATGTTGAAGACAAGAGACATACAGAAAAAAGTAAAAACCAAGACGGTTAAAATTGTACCAAGTCCTATTTTATAACATCAGAATATGGAAGTTATCAATGGAATACTAAATAAGAGATGGCAACCTCAAAAGCTTGAAAGGGGTCATGGAGCTAATTTAGCCACTTGAAACTCCTGGGGAGAAAAAGAGAAAAATGTTTAAAATGTTGTACTGAAACCAAACTTAACACCTGTGCAGTTATAGTGCCTTTTAAAAACCCTGAAAAGGCACAAAACAGCGACCAAACTTGCTATTACTTTACACCCTTGGTCTGAGTAGATAAGAAACAACTTAGGAGAGAAACAAGATAATAGACGAGGAAAAGAAATAGGGATTGTAGAAGAGTAATTGTCATGTAATAGATCCCCAATAAATATCGGTTGAATGAGTAAATGAAATGAAAGAGAAACTTACTGGAAAATAGTTTGGGCTGAAGCACAGATTTGTCAGGAATTGCCTGTTGCTCTATTGAATCAAGTGTTAAATGATCAATACGCTTATTTTAGCCAGGACATGACTGATACAGTGACTGTGAAATGGAGGGGAGCAGAGTAGACAGCTTATCATGAAAAGAGAAGAAAGTGGTTTCTTTTTTCTTGATTCCCCATTATAGCTCATGATTGACCTCTTGATTTCATTACACCTCATGCATTTCTTACATAATTCTTATAAAATATAACCTCAGAATCTGAAGGAAGCTTGGGACTTTCAAAAATGTTTCCGAATTTTGTTTGGACTACTACAAATTCCATGGTTGTGCCTGAGAATTAACCTACTTAGGCTAATGGAGGAATTTAGGGAATCTTTTTCTTCTTTGCACAAAGGCAAATCTATTCTTTGTCTTCTTGGTTCACCTCTATTGCTTTACTTCCAATCAATCCTATTAAAGTAAAATAGATTGAAAGCTACCTATTGCCTCTGGTAACTTGCTTGGAAATTTTACCAGATTCTTTTTTTTTGCATTCTTAATGATCAGTCAGTCACTTACCTAAAGGTTTTAAAGTCGTTCTGATATTTAACTTTATAAACAGCTTTATTGACATTTACATAACACAATATTTATGTACATAAAATTTACGTAACATAAAATTTGCCATTTAAACTATATAACTCAGTTAATTTTAGCACATTCATACAGGTGTGTGACCATTGTCACAATCCCTATCGGAACGTTTCCATCACCCAGAAATTTCCTTGTGCCCTTTTGCTGTCAAGTCTCCACTCCCATCCCCAGCCCCAGGCAACGGCTGATCAGCTTTCTGGAGCCTTTTATGGAAACTTCATCTGGATGGAAATAGAATATCTGATAGTTATTTTTAATTCAACAACGAAGTTTGCCTTGCTAAGATAGCCAAAGCCCAACTCAGTTAAGTGGATTTTGGATTTCTCTATAAACAGCAGCAGAATTTCCTATAAATAGCAACAGAATATATTAATTAGAAGACTTTCCTTAATCTGGTGCTAAGACTTGATTGTATGCCTCATTTACTTTGCTGAAGTGCAATTTATTCTCTTCTAGTTAAAGATCTTGTTCAGGTTAGAGCTATGTATTACATATCACCTCTTGCAGACAGAAGGATTGATATTCTTTCCAACTTTAGACCTTATTCTATACTCTTTATTATTATGGCAGTTTTCCCCCCCAGAACAAGTATTTAAGTGTGTGCAGAGGGAAAGAAAACAGATGCCTAATAGCCCTCAAATATTTGCAGATAGATGAAAGGCTGGAAGATGGATCAATAACTTCCATATATTTAGGTCTTGGGAAAGTGGTTTGTGTTACAAGTTCTGAAGATGTAGAAAGTAAGTTGCATATATTTGAAATAGAATTTCACTCTGTGTGTGCTTTTATTTAACAGAAGGAATGCGAAACATGTTCGAGCAAGGAATAAAGCATTACAATGGATTAAGTCCTATGTTTTACCAGAGTTTCCCTATGATGTCAAATGCATGTTAGCAGAACAGAAGTGTCCAGATCACAGCATGAGGATAAGGATCATTGAGTTTCTCCAGGCCGACATGACTAAGTATCTGGAAGGCTCCCTGTGAGTAATAACACATTTGCTGCTTTGGGAGAGTGTTTTCAAAGTAGAGTAGAATTCATATGGAACCAATTCTCTTCAGATTTTGGGTGACATATTGCCCAATATTTGAATGTCTACTTTGTTATAAAGAAAGATTTGAAGAAAAGTGAGTGAAATTTGGACTCAGCCTCTGGGAAGGAATGTAGGCTTCTTGAAATGAACAAAATCCTCCTTGTTGCACTGAACAGGTATCCCACCACCCAGCAGTATAACGATGTGGTCAACGCCCTGCTGCAGGCCCACCCTTTCCTGGAGGAGGATGGCTGTAGCTTTGTAAGTGACCATGTGGCCCCATTCTGACAATCTCAACCCATCTTAACATAATAGCCTTGTGTTATTCAGTGATATTATGTCTTGTACTCCTTTCTTCAGTCTCTTTCTATTTCTCCTTCTCTGTCAGGTTTCCTGACTCTCTATCTCTGTCTAGTCTCTGTTTCTGTTCCTTTGGCTTTTTTTCTGTCAGTCTCTGTTTCTTTCTAAGCTTTGGTCACTCTCTCCCATGCTGCTCTTTTTGGTGACTTCTCTGTCTTACTGTCCATTGCTCTTCTTTTAAAAAATACATATACTTTATATTTTTAGAAGAGTTTCAGAATCACAGCAAACTTGAGAGGAAGGTACAGACATTTACCATTTACCCCCTTGTCCCCACATATGCTCAACTTCCCCACCATCAACATCCCTGCCCCAGTGATACATTTGTTACAACTGATGAACCTACACGGACACGTCACTCAAAGCCCATAGTTGGTCTTAGAAGTTTCACTGTTGGTGCTGTGCATTCTAAGAGTGTAGACAAATCTATAATGACACATATCCATCATTATAGTATCATAGTACATGTATTTTTCCACAGCCTAAAATTCATCTGGGCTTCCCCTATTCACCCCTCCCCAACCCTCTTTCTTTGTCTTTGTCTCTCTGTGTCATCATGTTTCTGTGTCCCCCTCAAAGCTGTTTGGAAGTTCATATGGTAAGATGAGTCTCTAGGAAGGATCTTTAAGAGATATAAGACCTAGAAAGAGAAAGATGACTACATCTGTATTCGCACTCTCATCACCACAGTGTTTCTCGTCTTCCGATTAGACCCAGGGAAGAAGCTGTCTGGTGTGAGGCCTCGACCTTCAGCCGCACCTGGCCCTCCCATATCTCTGCCATGCTGATAACAACAGATCCTTCAAGCTGTTCTAGGGTAGCAATTCTCAACTCTGGCTACACAGCAGGATCCCCAGAGATTCTGATTTAATTGATTTGAAGAAGGTACCCTGATATTTTTTAAAGGTCTTCAGATGATTCTAATGTGCAGCCAGGGTTAAGAAATACTATTCTAGAGGTAATACAAGCTTTGCTGTCTGGACCTGTGTGGCTCTTGGCTTTAGGAACCTGGGATCTGCATGGCCCGACAATGTGAATATACTGAACCCTACAGAACTCTATCCTGAAATATAGTTAAGGTGATAAAAGAAAAATTGAGTGTATTGAAAAATGGGAACTATGTGATTTGAGGAATAATTATGGGGACCTATAGCAGTGTGTAGGTAAAAATGTACTTTTATTACTTATATTTCTATATGCCATATACATGTGTATTGGTAATACTATCTAAATGAGATAGATGTTTTTTTGTACCTTATCATCACAGACATCTGTGAGAAAATATTTTTTGCTGTGCTTTCTTGAAGATGGAGAATTTAAGCAATTTGTTTCAATTTGAATAACAAAGGGTAAATGCCAATATCAGTGAATATAAAAATGTTAAAGGCCTTGTTTTCTTTCTCTTTTTTCTTGTCTGTATATTCAAGGAAAAGTTTATTAAGTATGGATAGAATCAGAATTTTCTGAGTGGAAAAGGGCCTTAAGTATTCTCTCTTACCGCCCAGACGCAGGTAAGATATTATATTCCATGTCTGGAACTAGTGACTATTAAAGTCCAGACTGGAATTTAAGGATCTCAGCTTCTAGTATGAATCTTTCTTAAAAAACGCTGCTTATATAAAATCACACTGCACATTAAACCCAATTTGTTCTTTAAAAAAAAAAAAAAAGAACTATACTAAAAGAAAACACAAAACACAAAACAAACCAACCTAGGGTCCCAACATTGATAATCACGCTGATATGGATGGCAAAACGGATTCTAAGAATTCCTTTTACACTGAAGATAGAATGCCTGCCAACTATTAAGTGTTTCTATGTATAGAGCTAGTTGTGTTTTTAAAGAAGAAATTAAATTAGCTGTTTATATAAGTAATGCATTCATGGAGTTTAAAATTCACAAGCTACACAAGGACATAATGGCAAGGCCTCCCTCCCACCTCTGTCCTCCAGCCACCAAATTTTCCTCCCCAGAAGAAACTAATGTTATTAAAGATTCCTTCCAGAGAATATTTGCATATATGCAAAAAACATATCTATACAATTATATTTAGCCTTTAGTTTCATGGTTCTCAAAGTGAGAGGGAAAGAAAGTAATGAATAATGTTTACTTTGATCTTGTGTGCATTTTGGCACATCTGTTCCCAGCGTCATTCACTAAAAATGTTACTGGTAAAGAGACCTGCAAAATGTCTTGGCCCTTGTGGCCCTTGTTTACACACTCAGAGCAGAAGGGGAAACTGGTGCATGGTAGATGTTTACTCAAATTCTCCCTACAAGCATGTTGAGCTCGTGTTTCTAATGTTACAGTGGAAGATACAAAACATTTCTGAGAACATCAATGTGTGGGGCAGGAGGTAGTGGGGAGACAGAGCACACATCCAAATAAACGTTTGGTCATTTTTAAGGCTAATTTTATCCTCGACTTTTTACTTTGAAACTGTTCAAATCTGCACTGAAATTGAACGAATGCTACAATCAAGCCAGATACCATTTACTTGGAGTAAGTTCTCCCCGTCTCGGCAGTGTTTACATGATAGGCTGGACGGTTCTCTGTGGTGGAGCCTGCCTCTGCACTGTAGAATGGTTAGCCGCACCCCGGCTCCCCCTGGGTGTGAGCAGCCCCACCGCCCCACCCACCCAAACCATTGTAACAACCAACCGCATCTCCAGACAGCACCAAATGCATCCTGGGAAGGAGGAGACATCCCAACAAGTAAGAATCAGATCTAGATCTAGATTCACTAGGTATTCACATTTTGCCATATTTATTTTTCCTCTGTTTATATTTGTTTGTTTTGGCCAACTATTTGAGGAAACCCAAGCTGTTTGTGCCATTCCTGACCCTCGAAAATGGTTTTGAAATGAAGTTATTGCTATAAATTGAATCCAGGATTATTCATTGCCTTTGATTATTATGTCTCTTAAATTTCTTTTTATTTAGGACACTCTCCCTGACCTTTTTTGTTTTCCCTGATATCTACTTTGTGGCCAATTTTAATCTAGTTGCTCTGTAAGAGGGTCCATATCCTGGGTTTATCTGAATGTTTCCTAAGGATTATATTTGGATTTAATATTGGGCAAAGACCTCTAGTGATGCCATGGACTGTTTTATACATCAGATCAGGGGCCTGTTACAAGGCTGATTTTTATTTCAGAATGAGAACTGTATCCTTGTAGATGTTTCTACACCCTCAAGCTAGAAAAGTATGCAAAAGGTGGATGGTTATTCAAAGACACAAATATTTTCTAAAGAGACTTTGACATAAACACAGTGCCAGGCATGTCGCAGATGCTCAGTGAATACTTGCTGATTGAGTATTTATGTGGACCATTGTATTTGAGTTGTCTTCCTTTTGCTGCTATTAGAGAGTTAATAAGGAGAGAAGGGAGAGGCTGGGAAGAAAAAATTAGCAGTTTTAAAATATCCTAGTAGTTGATTGCTATTTTACCTCCCACCAGGTCAGCAAGTTTAGAAAAATTTCAGAACTGTAGGAAACATGAGGAAAATGAGGGAAAAAAATGTATTTGCATTTGTTTATATTACAGGGCTAAGAAAAATATAAGCCATCTATCATTTCTGTGCTGTTGTAAAACAGTGGCAGCCAAGTCTAGACCCATAGGCTTGTGGGAGGTGATGAAGCATCTCTGACTCATACATACCTAGGAGCTGTAACGGGGCCAAAGCCATCTGCCAACCTCAACCCACAGAATCCTCACCAGGTCTATCAAAAATTTTATAAACAGCACTTTAGTTTACAAATACCTTCTATGAGTAGCTAGTCATTTTAGTCTCTCCAAGTCCAGCACATTTGACAGGCTTGATCTAATTGTTCCATGTTATAGTTGAAGAAACTAAAGCTGAGGGGTTACCTGTTGAACGTTGCTTGGCTAATATATACTAGAGCTAGACCTAGACCCTGGGTCTCCAAGCCCACCTTAGGTCCCAGAACTTTTTGCAGGACAGGGAATAATCTTTTTGAGACTTAACCCAGGGCACAAGGAATGGCAAAATCTAAGTGCCAGACCTGGACTCCGGGCATCCCCACTTCCTCATGAGGAAATTGAGCTTAGAGAACTTGCCCAAAGTCACACAGCAATTTACCACCCTGTCTAGTGGCTGAGACTAGAAGGTAAACATGGGCCTGTCTGGTTGCAAAAGGTCATTTTCTCCCTACCCCCAGTCTTGAGCCTGTTCAAGCACATGGCATTGGGAGGAGATTAGGGGCTGAGAAGCAGGCTCAAGGCTCAGACTTGAACAAGTGTAGGGCCACTCCTCACCCAATGAGTTATTTACCCAGTAAAGCCAAGACTCAGTCTTGCTTCATCCAGTCTGTTGCCTCAACACCTGGGTCACCCTCCCTCACAGAGGGCTGACACAAGGCATCCAATATTTATAGTTTCCAAGGTGCATTGAGCACTGGGCTGGACTTGGTGAGAAAAGAAAACCTGAGCTTGTCTTCAAGTGCTTATAGCCTAGTGAGAGGATAGAAAAGGAGGAAAAAAACCCTCCCTCACAGAGGGCTGACACAAGGCATCCAATATTTATAGTTTCCAAGGTGCATTGAGCACTGGGCTGGACTTGGTGAGAAAAGAAAACCTGAGCTTGTCTTCAAGTGCTTATAGCCTAGTGAGAGGATAGAAAAGGAGGAAAAAAAGAAAGGATGGAAGAAACAAAGAGAGAAAGAACCAAAAAACCAGAACAGAAAAGACACAGAAACAGATAAACCTTCTCACAGATGAAGGTAAACTACCATCATGATAAGCAGTGACAGGGAAAGGTGAGAGCTGATCACCACGGGGAATGAGCTGTTGGGGAGACCAGCAGGCCTTCCGTGAGGGGGTGACAGCTGAGCTGAGAGCTGGAGGCAGGGCAAGGAAGGGTTCCCTAGATACCAGTAGGGACGGGGAGGAGAGGGAGGCAGGCTGGCTTGTTGAGAAAGCCCAGCTGTGTCCTTCAACTGTTGCTTGTGTCTCTGATCTCCCAAACATTCCAAGTGCTGGACAGATTCTTCCCGAGCTCAAATCTGCCCGTCTTCTCTCTCCACTCAACTCCGCCTGAGAGGACTCCTCGCCTGGCTCTGCAGCCACATTATCTAGTAAGCTTTGAAAAAATACAGACACCTGGGCTTCACTCAGCCCTACTGAATCAGGACCTCTAGCATCTGGCCAGCTGTGCAGCAGCACCTAGGGACCTGTAGAACATGCATATTCTCATTCCTACCCTGTCATCAGTTGAATCAGAGACTCTGCAGAACCACAGGGACACAGGCCCAGCAACCTGCACTTTAACAAGTCCTCCAGGAACTATGATTCAGACTAAATTTTGAGAGCCATCTGACTACAACTTCTTTCCACCCACCTGCCATTCTCCAATACCACTCTATGCCCCCTCATAGAGTTCCCTGACATTAAGACCTCAGCTTAGAAGCACCTCCTACAGGAAAGCTTCTGTGAGCCCCTAACACAGTGTAAGATTCTGCTGTCATACACTTTTCACTCCTTACTGAAATTACTCGTCCTTCTGCTGATTGAAAGCTAGGTCTGCTCATGCCCATCTCCCTCCAAGGGATGGAATCTGATCTTTGCGTTCCATACAATAGGTGCTTCAAAAATATTGCAGAGTGGTTCCTAATAGTATTCACCAAAGTGAATTTCAATGGGTGACAAAAACATTTTTTAAGAAAATCCGTTAGTCCACAGATGCATAAGCCAGTATCAGTTCTTTGCTAGAACCCAGCAAAAAAGTGGAGTGTGTTTTGGAGATATCAGAGTATGGTGGAAAATATCCAATTTTTAGAGTTAGAAAATATAAATTCGAAAGACATTGTATTACTCAATAGTTATGTGACGTTGAGAAAATATTTTTATTTCTAGGTTTCCTTGATTATAATTTAGAGATTATAATTTTCATAGCAATCTCACAACACTGTTGTGAGAATAAATGGAAGGGTAGAGCTATGATTTTTATTACTGTGATGTGAAAATAATTTCGAGCCCAAGAGTGATAGAAAAATAAAGATTTTATGGTTCACACAGGAAGAGTCTAACATCCTTAAAGGTTAACTGTCCTGTTTGGTTATTTTACACAGTTTTTATGGAAACGTGCCCTCAAAGATCGCTTTAAATATGTTCGACGACCCATAGAAGACGATGAGCAAGTGATGAGAAATAAGTGCAAGTTCGGACACCGAAGAGGCCAGACAAAGAAATCTCTTGCTGATATAAGATTTGATGAGATTAAAATTGTCCAGATAAAAGTAAGATTGAGTCTTTGAATTTGCTGTTATTTTATCGATTGACAGATTAAGTAATACCATTTAAAATCATTAAAACAAAATCAGATAACCTTTTAAAACTGTGAGGTGGGGAAGATCTGTTTTTCCTGGCTAATAGCGTGAATGATCATATTCCCAACAGAGGCTTTTCAAAGCCAGTTTGAGCAGAGTGTGCTCAACTGATCATCTCGTGTTTATTCTTTCACAGCCTTCAAAAAACCTGGACAAACCCTATGTTCTGGATCTCTGAAATAGTTTCTCTTCTTCTCATTATAAAATGTATCTTATGTTCTTGATGTTCTTATTGCTGTGGAAAGTTTTTAATACTCATTTTGTAGATGTTAGGCAGCCTCAATCTCAAGTTTTGGGGAGGAAGGTAATCCACATGCATGAACACAAAGCTCCATCCTGCCCTTTGCACAGAAGGTGTCCCACGCTAACCCAGAGGTGGCCTGGGGGAACTTCTGGCCGAGGGCCCCAGGCAGCACCTGGAGAGCGTTGCCTCAGCTGTGGATTTGCTGTGCATGTGTCCATGTGAGTCCTAATTATCTGAGATCCAATACATAATCCTTAACTACCTCAGAGCCCCTAAATATTGTCAGAAACAAACATGTTCCCTGCTGATAAAGTCAATAGGAAGGGTGTCCAAATTACCAAGTATAGAAGAAACTAAATCTCACATCCCTCAATTCTGTTTCCACCTCAGTTCCACATGACTATGTAAATCCTAACTCTTCACCGCAAACACATTTGTGTCAGTAAATGTACTTGGTGTAAATACTCTGTTTTCTTTTTCAGCTGGTATATTTATTTGATATTAACAGAGCAACCTATTTGGTCATCTCAATTTTATGAGTACTATTGATTAGTGCCAGAGCACAGAAATATTTTTTAATCTGTTCTGTGAAACATTCATCCCAGCATCATAAAGAAATTTTAGATGAATGTGTGTATTTTAAATATCTAATACTTTTCTATTAGATTTTCATATCAGAGGCTAGTTAATATAATTCTGTGTCTTCCCTTTGACAAAAAGACAGACTGATGAACGGTAATACTTTAGTGGAGTAACTTTTTAGAAACTTTGCAGTACCCCAATTATAAACTAAAATCATTATGGAATCCTGCTCATTTTAAAATATTTTTTATGTTCTTAAAATAAAAAGTCACTTTGTAAAGGAATATAGTTATGCATAAGTTGGTTTTTTCAAAACATTTGATTTTCAGTACTAAAACTGGAGTTCCTCTATAAATAGTTAAAATTTGCAAATTCAGTTTCCCTTTTTTTCCTGTGATGCATGTCCCACTAAAATTCACTGGAATGAATGAATGGTAAAATTGGAAAATTAGCAATTGTCCCCAGCACGAGAAGTTGAGGGTAAGTCCGTGGGGTTGGAAATCACACAGGGCAGCTTCTCCCTGTTGAGTGATCATCATTGAACCAATTTGTACGCTCCCCTTCCTCTTCCTTCTCAAACCACCTGAGTTCTTCATGTAACTACACACTTCCCGACCCCTCCCTTCTAGGCCCCCAGGTATGCCTGAATCCTAAAATGAATCCTACTAGGGCCCATGCATGGGCTTTACTACAAAAAGAACAGAAAATTAAACGTACTAGGACCCAAAATGAGTTTAATTGCAATAGATTTTAGTTTTGACCTTCCTGCCAGCTGGGGCAAAGACATTATAAAGCAGTCATTGTTCACATCTGAAGAGACAACATTTTTCCTGGCAAACAAATCTAATTGGTAAGGACTTTTCTCCTCCGTACAAATGGAACTATAAATTGCTGATTCTTTTAAAGACTGTAGCTTCCTGGTTTATGTCCTGGTGTTCTGTAAAGCCAAGAGCTGGGAAGTACAGGGTAAAATTTGTACTAGAATATTACAGAAAAAATGTGTTTCTGCATTTTATACCCTTAATGATTAACCAAAAGGAAAAACACTAGGAAGAGTGTAGATAAATCCATTAACTATATTACTTATTTCATGGAATTTTATACTTCAGATAAACTGCCTTCATTTTTCAGATCTCCATGTTGAACTCCTGAGAGCTCCTTTTTAATATCTTTAAGATTTCTGAAAATTAAAGATACTTGGATTAAGATACACTTGGTAACTCTGCATCTCTTAAGATTTCTTGACTGGGCACAATATTTCCATAACATAAAAAAGAGTTATTTCTTGTGCTGCAGACAGTGATGGAAAAATGCTAAATGCATGCAAGAAGCCCGGAGTCAGGCTGCTTCCCCAAAGACAGGGAGGTGGGTTTGGCTGACCTGGAGGAAGATTGGGGAAGGAGTGGAGGAGGGAAGAGCTTTTCATTTGCCTTGTTTTATTTCTGTTGTTTTTCTTTTTGTGGTTGGGAAGAATAACCAAAGAATTGAAGATAAATGTCTCAGCGAAGGAAGGTAGATTTCTTAGTCCTGCTACATAGGCTTCTGCTGACAACCCAGGCAGATACAGAATTTGCCTGGGTCTGAGTATGGGCCACTGATCTTTTGCCCTAACCCTCCTCCTACCCCAATCTGCAGGACAGTTTAGGGCTGCTCAATCTATGCTACAAAACCCAAAGCATCAGCAAGCATCGAAGCATCCCCCTGTGAATCTTAAACATATCTGGGTTCCTCACCTTCCACTGCCAACAAGACTTGTCACCATGTTATACAGATGGTTATACTTGTCAGAATCCAGACCACATTTCCAGACCAATCCTGAAAAATACTGGGTATTCTGCCCTGCTAAAAAACCTTTTCTAACCTCAGGACCTCATGTCACTGCTGTTTGTATGGTCATGCAGCCAAGGGTAGCAGCTGGGCTATGTTTCTTATACATCTGGCTTTGATTTTAGGTCCAAGCATTTTGTAGGTATGTGAATTGATGTATCTGCTCCCTTTACCTTACTGTCTTTTAACTATACTTCCTCTTGTATTTATAAGCAAAGATATAATTCAATTCTCAAAGCAGACTTCAGTGAATAATTTCACAAGTTACTGACAATTATTGTCTTGTTTAAATGATGAAGACACTGGTTTAAAAAGCTTACAGAAATTGTATGAACTGCCTAGCAGTGTAGTGGAATTATACTTTGTACTGTAGTATTTTTTTGTAGAAAAAAAAAACCTAAAGTATTAATTAAGAGTGAATCAAACACCTCACTTCATGGCACATTGTCATCCTTGTTTTATGCTAGGCCCTACTTTAGTTCTATTCACTTCTTTCTGTCCTCCTTCTTTCTGCCCTTCTGCCCCTCTTAGTCCTTGGCAACCCTTCTAATGTGTATCTTTTTGTGTGTGAGCTTTCCAAAATGTGTGCTCTCATTTTGGGTTCACATATACTTGACTTAATGTAAGTGGTATTCTATACCTCATTCTTATTTCACTGTTTTCACTAATAATATTTAAGACTCATTCATGTTGTTATGCATATTTCTAGCCCATGATTGTAACAACTATTAAGTACTCCTTGCCGCAGTCCCTATTCCTCCCCTCTGTGAATTGCACTGCAGAGAACACCATCAGACATGCCTGATTATGGGCTTACCTGTGTGTTATCTCTGTGGGCTGTACATCCAGGAGCAGAACTGATGGGGCAGAGAACATGCATGTACTAAATTTGACCAATTACTGTCCAGAAAGACTTTGTTAGTCTCGCTCCCACAGTAGCACATATCCCCGTGTTCTTGCCAACCCTGGCATTATCCAGCCTTCTAATATTCACCAAGTCTAATAGGCATAGAGTGTAATCTCATTCTTGTGGTGATTTGCATTTCTCTGGATAATGAACGAGTCTGAGCATCTTTTCATGTATGTGTTAGTCTTTTGAGTTTCTTCTTTTAGAAAATAACCTCTTTAGATCCAGGGCCCATTTCTTGATGAGTTGGCATCTTTTTCTTGTTAATTTGTAGGAGGTGGTCCTTCCCACGCCCTAAGTCAAAAACGTACTCTTCTACTCTTTCTTCTTCTATTATGTTCATAGTTTGCACTTGCATGTTTAGATCTTTAAGTCATCTGGAGTCCATCTTTGTATTTGCTATTAAATAGGGATCCCCATATAGTGAGTCACTTTCTCAACATCAGCTACTAAACAATCCATCATTTCCGTATTGGTTCATAGTGCCACTTTTATTGTATATTAAGTTCCCAAGTAGACTGTAAGTTCTCGCTCTCATTCCTTCAGTCTATCCATCTTTCTTTATGCCATTACCACAATACATTTGATTACTTAATGTTTCCTGCTTAGTATCACTTACTGCCTCATACTCCTTTCCCAGAATAAGGGGAAGGACAGGGGGTCCTCTGCTCAGGAACCAGCCCCTGGGACTCCTCTGTAGCATCTGCCAGGAGAGGAACACCAAGTAAGCTCTGTCTCGCGTGGAGGGCTTGCTGTGACAGGGTGGATGCCCTGATGGAAGGATCCGGCTCCCGTCATCCTGGGGAATGCGTGGGGATGGCATTTGGTCTTCATGGGGGCACTGGACCTGGATCCTTACACTGTCACAGCCTGATGCTTATCTTTTCTCAGGAATCTCTTTATTCAGAGGATTCCTTCTTGGTCCTCCCTGGCCTTTTGCCCAATGCACCATTTGAAACATCAGAATGTAAACATACTTTTTACATTTATTGCTTGTACAGTATATCTTTTCCCATCTTTTTATCTTCAACTTATTTGTGTCTCTGAATCTAATGTTTATCTCTACTAGACAGTATATATATAGCTAGATCATTTTCTGAGGCCATTTTGTCAATTACTTATTGTAGTTACTGATAAGGTAGAATTGATGTCTGCTCTTTGCTGTTTCTTATATGTCACCTCTTTCTTGTTTTTTATTCCTTAATTGCTGCCTTCTTTTGCATTAAGTAGATATTTTCTAGGATGCTAGTTTAATTTCCCTTATTGTTTCTTCTGATATATATATATATATATGTATATATACACTATATACATGTATACACATTATGTATACACATTATGTATACACAC